CTCTAAGGGCGGAGAAGCTTTACGCGAAATTCTCCAAATGTGAATTCTGGATTCGAAAAGTAACCTTCCTAGGTCACGTGGTAAGCGAGGAAGGCATACACGTGGACCCCTCTAAAATCAAAGCGATAGAGAACTGGTCAGCACCGAAGACGTCCACGGAAATCCGTCAATTCTTGGGTCTCGCTGGCTACTATCGCAGATTTATCCAAAATTTCTCCAGAATTGCCAAACCCTTAACCACTCTAACTCAGAAAGGCGTACCCTTTTTTTGAGTGAGAAGCAAGACACTGCGTTCCAAACGTTGAAGCGGGCCCTATGCAGCGCACCTATCTTGTCCCTGCCTGAAGGGACGGAGGACTTCGTCGTCTACTGTGATGCATCCAATCAGGGCCTAGGCTGTGTGCTCATGCAACGGGGAAAAGTCATTGCTTATGCCTCAAGACAGCTGAAAGCACACGAAGTCAACTACACAACGCACGACTTGGAATTGGGAGCAGTGGTCTTCGCATTGAAGATATGAAGACATTATCTCTACGGAACCAAGTGCACTATCTTCGCTGACCATAAAAGTCTGCAGCATATCTTCGACCAGAAAGAGCTGAACATGAGACAACGACGATGGGTTGAGCTACTCAGCGATTATGAGGGCGAAATACGCTACCATCCCGGCAAGGCCAATGTGCTGGCAGATGCCCTCAGCCGGAAGGAGTATTCAGGTCGTAGAATGAAGGCACTGACCATGACTATCCATTCCCATTTATCCACGCAAATCAAGGAGGCTCAGCTGGAAGCCTTGAAACCAGATAACATGCCGGGTGAAGCCTTGAGAGGAATGGAAAAGAACCTAGAGATAAAGGGAGACGGAGTCTATTATTTCATGGACCGGATCTGGACCCCAAGGTTCGGTGGTTACAGAGAGGTTGTAATGAATGAAGCTCACAAGACCAGATACTCCGTTCACCCAGGTTCGGACAAGATGTACCTCGATCTCAAGAGACTGTATTGGTGGCCGAACATGAAAGCAGAGATCGCTACCTTTGTGGGCAAGTGCCTGACTTGCGCCAAGGTGAAGGTCGAATATCAGAAACCCTCAGGTCTACTCCAACAATCGGAAATACCTGAATGGAAGTGGGAGAGGATTACTATGGATTTCATCACCAAATTACCTAAATCTCCGAGTGGGTATGACGCCATCTGGGTAATTGTCGACCGACTAACCAAATCCGCTCACTTCCTACCAATCAAGGAAAATTTCAAAATGGAGAGACTCACACGAATCTACATCCAATAGATAGTTCGACTGCACGATGTACCTGTATCCATTATCTCTGATCGAGATAGCAGGTTCACTTCGAGGTTCTGGCAGTCACTACAGAAGGCTCTTGGAACTAAGCTGGATATGAGCACATCTTACCATCCTCAAACAGATGGACAGAGTGAGAGAACCATCCAAACCTTGGAAGACATGTTGAGAGCCTGCGTCATCGATTTCGGCGCGTCATGGGACACTCATCTTCTTTTGGTTGAATTTTCCTACAACAACAGTTATCATACCAGCATTAAGGTTGCGCCTTTCGAAGCCCTCTATGGTCGCAAGTGCAGATCCCCTCTGTGCTGGGCTGAGGTGGGCGACACGCAGGTAGCCAAGGGGCAAGTCCCAGATAGCACTCTCACTGGCCCAGAAATCATCGGCGAAACCATAGAAAAGATCGTGCAAATCCGAGAACGACTGAAAGCCTCACGCGATAGACAAAAGAGCTACGCCGATAAACGACAAAAACCCTTGGAATTCCAGGTTGGAGACCGTGTCCTGGTAAAAGTCTCACCCTGGAAAGGAATGATATGCTTCGGAAAGCGTGGAAAGCTGAATCCAAGATACATGGGACCATTCGAGATCCTCGCCAGGATCGGTCCTGTAGCCTACAAACTCCGATTACCTCAAGAGCTTAGTAACATTCATCCCGTCTTCCACGTCTCGAACCTTAAGAAGTGCTTATCCGACGAGACTCTTACTATCCCTCTCGATGAGATTGAAATCAACGAGAATCTAAACTTTGTGGAAGAACCAATCAAAATCATGGATAGAGAGATCAAACGAACAAAAGAAAGTCGCATCCCGATAGTGAAGGTTCGCTGGAATGCCAAGCGAGGACCGGAATTCACTTGGGAACGCGAAGATCAGATGAACCAGAAATATCCTCATCTCTTTCCTAATTCATGATTTGTATTCTATGTTCGAATTTCGGGACGAAATTCCCTCTAATGGGGGGATGATGTGACAACCTGAAACTTTTATCCTATGCAATTGATCCGTATATCAATATTAAACTCGATTTTATCATTTTTTAACACCGTTTAAGAGTTAGTTTAAGTGTTCTAAGCTTGAGTACAGTCGGGAATGAGATTAGAAATGAGTCAACAAGTCGTATAGAGACAAAACCGGGCCTTACACCCTCCTGAGAGGTGTGTACGGCTGCACACATGGGTGTGCGGCCGCACACCCATCCTCCAGCCGCACACTCCCCCTAATATATATAAAGAGACCCTCTTTCACTCATTTCTTTCCTTTGGCTGCACTCTACTTTCTCTCACTACTTTCTCTCTCTAAAACCTTCATCCAAGAACACTCAAAAGGCCTCAAAAATGTGAACTACTTCATCTTTCAGCTTGTTATATTGGTAAGACACCTGAATCTAAGCCTAAAACTCATAGTGTTCTTCATGTTCTTCATCCTTTGAAGGTGTATGGCCGCACACCTTCATAAGGTGGCCGCACACACCTTAAAACTCTCCAAAGTGAAGAGTTTGGCCTTCATTCACTAGGAGGACTTGGTATTAGCACAAGAACACCTCAAAATCGACATTTCAGGCACAAATGAGGAGTGTACAGCCGCACACACCCTCTGTACACACCCTCTGTACGGCCGCACACACCCTCTGTACGGCCGCACACCCTGGCCGCACACCCACTCAAATGGACGTACACCTCCCTTGTTTGATCATATAGGGTCCCGACAAGGATTTCCAAGTCTTTAGGATGGTTTTCCGTCATGTTTAGCCATGAAACACCCTAATTCTAACACACATATGTGTTATCACATGTTAATAGGATCCACTTGCGTACGAAACCTCAATTGACACTCAACACTCGTAACCGATCATCCGCGCGAATCATCCGTCAAACGGTGAGTTCATACCCCTATGCTTTTTCCGAGTTTTTAATGTTTTCAGGGGGGGGGGGGATACAAGCAAAAGTATAAGGAAACTTGTGCTCAAATTATCTCATTTTGCATAGAATGATTTTATGTTCAGTATGCTTTTAACTTACAAAACCGTTTTACCAATCGATTAAGAAATCAACTCGTAGTAACAGTTTTCAAATCTAAAGCAAGAAACTTGTGAATCATGTTATAATATGTATTATCTTATAAAGGATTCATGTAAATCATAAACATGATTTTCGTACTATTATTTGTAAATTTGTTAGGCTAAGTTTGAGACATATCCTTGGTAACACTCCATCGGATTCGTGAGTGGAGGACTACGACTTATAACCATAATCTCTTGGAGGGAGAGCGTGGCTATTGTGTATAGATCTATATGGGACTGACTATCCCGCACCCTCACTGTTAGCTACAGCGGAACCGTTAGGTTCAGGGGTGACAAAGTCATAAAAGATAATGGCCCCCATTCGTGCCTTATCCAGTCTAAGTACGGTTATGGCACTCACAACTTAGGTAACGAGAATTTACTTTTGTAATAATAAAACAAGTGAACTAACCTCAAAGTAATAACCGGTTTGATTACTAGAGGGCATCAGTAACGCCCTTAGGATCTAGTTCACTACATATTTTATTAGTTTTATTTATGTAATAAGGCTAATACATCTCACAACGAGTAACCAGGGTTTTTCAAAGAAACACATCTATCGATACAAGTATGGTAGATACTTGTACACCTCGTATCAGAATCGGAAACCAACAATCGACTTTTAAGGAAAATGTAGGGTTTTCCTAGGATAACTTAATCTTTCATAAACGGGCTGTTTAACGTGTAACCAATGGATAATCAAACCTCTTTCATAAGAAAATATGGGATTTTCTTGGGAAACAACTTTTCAAATAATCAAAGAAACATTTCTTTCACCAGAATCAAACGCTTATGAACTCACCAGCTTTATGCTGATATTTTAAAACTGCTTGTATTCTCAGGGCATCAATAGACAGGTACTCTTGCCGACTTTTGGAGAAGACGGAATATTCTGAAGTCACGTCTTTTACTTTTGCTATATACTGTTATGTACAAATCATGTTTTGAACAATGTAAATATTCATATTATAATGTAATGGTTGTGTTTACTTCTCTTAGTATGATACAACTGTTGTGATACTACGCATGACGTCCTCCGACCCGGAACGTTTCCGCCATCGGTTTCGGGGTGTGACAACCTCCTTATATTTTCATGATTGGATTCTGGGGATACTCTGATGCTTAAACAATTTTGAAAACAAATTGTAATAACTTAATGGTTTTAAATGTTTTAAAAAGTTTTAAATTGGCTTGAATTTTATGTGTGTTACAAGTTGTGATAAGGAAATTGCATAGCTTTACCAACATGATTCATTGGCTTTAATTTACATGATCTTTGACTGTATAAGTAATCAAATAATACTTAATCATTGGTATAACTTTCTTCGTATATCTAACCATTATGTTCGTTTTCATGCGATGGAATTGTTTTCAAGTGGGACCCAATTCATTAATCAATGTTTTGCCAACTTATATTTTACTTTACATAAAGAACAAAATCATGTAAGACTTAATGGTTGATATATCACCATCATATGTTAACAGTTAACACCAACTCACTATGTTTTCACCTGATTTGAGTTTCAATTCCACTTGATAATTGTATAAAAACATTTTATCTCATTGTTTTTAGTTGTTTGCATCTCACCATGTTTTCACCTTATTGAGTACTAACGTAATATCTACTTCAGCATGGCTAGTAACGAAGGTGTAATTAATGTCGATGATCAACAAGACGTTGGAGTTCAAGTCCCAGGTGAAGTTGATATTGAGAAGAAAATAAAGCAAGACCTAAGTTACGGTCCATTGAATGGCAGCATTTTCCATATGTTAAAGGCACAACATAAATCAGAATGCACACATTGTAAAAAGGTTTTAGCTTGTGGCACTAAAGGGAATGGTACCTCCTCATTACTCAGTCATCTAGTTGATTCTTGTAGGCGCAGCCCCGGTTATGAAGGTAAAGACAAAGATGCAAAGAAACAAACAAAATTAAGCTTTAAGTCAGAAGGTACCGAGGTGGGTGGGCCTTTGGCTAAGCATTCCTTTAGCCAGGAGAAGTGTAGATTGGCCCTTGGCAAAATGTGCATTAAAGACAATCGACCGTATATCATTGTTGATGATGAGGGCTTTAAGGAATTTGTGTGGGAATTGAATCTGGAATTTCAGATGACATCTAGATGGACTGCAGCTCGAGACTGTATAGAGATTTATGAACAAGAAGCAAAAAAAGTTAAAGAGATGTTGAAAGGCCAAACAGTGCGCCTAACTATCGACACATGGTCATCTGTTTAGAACGTGAATTATATGTGTCTTACGGGTCTTTGGATTGACGATGCATGGGTTGTACAAAAGTAAATTCTAAACTTTTTCCCTATACAGAATCATAGGGGTGAAACCATTAGGATTTTGGATTATGAGTGCATACAAAAGTGGGGGATTGAAACTGTGTTTACTGTGACAGTGGATAATGTGTCTTCAAATGACGAGGCTATAAGATATTTGAAGAGGATGTTGAAGGCACCAAATGATATATTAGATTGTAAATATGTTTACCTTTGTTGTTGTGCATATACCATCAATCTTGTTGTTAGAGATGGTTTATAAGAGCAATTCGATTTTGTTACTAAAATTCGAGATGCATCACCAGCTCGGTATAAAACATTTGAAGACTGTGTTGCTCATGTTGAAGTAAAATCCAAACAAAAGCCATCTCTTGATGTTGACACGAGATGGAATTCAAAAAATTTGATGTTGGAAATAGCCGTACTATATGAGAATGCATTTGAAAGGTATATTTATTTGTTTTATATTTATATTATTTTTTCCTTTAACTAACATCGAGTGCTTGTTTTATTTTCTCAATAGGCTTTGTATGATAGACCCTTCTTACGGGGTTATTTTTGCACCGAAGCGGATGACGATGTGGTCGGGAGCACAAGAAAAAGGAAAAGAAAGGCTAAAGTAGTTGGTGCTCCAAGTGATGTTGATTGGGAAACAGCTAGGTAGGTTTAATTCTTTTAGTTATTACTTGGTATATATCATTTTAATACTTACATATTGATATTGGCATTTAAAATAGGAATTTGATCAAGTACTTGAAGATATTTTCCGATGTTACAACTAAGATATCTGGTTCGAAGTATGTAACCGTGAATACATTTTTTTTAGTTTGTAAAAATGCAAGCCACAATCACTAAGATGACCTTTAGTCAAGTTAAACAAAATAAGAAGATGGCGATATCGAGGAAAGCAACGTATGACAAATATCAGGACAACGTAGTTAATGCGAATTATCTACCATATGTTGCGGTTGAATTGATCTACTGTAAGGGTAGTGAGAAAAGCAAAAAGATATTGGGATTGGTGACTAAGACTCTTGAAGATTTGTTTAACCATTACAAGGGCAAAGTGGAAAATGCGAATGTACAAAACACACATGATAATCTTGTTTGTGAAAATTTAAGTAGGTTTGGTTAGATGGATATTGATTTGGAGCTAGAATTTGACAAATTTGATCACGAGGGTCAAGATCTTAAGAGTGAGGTGGAGATTTATCTAGCAGATGGAAGGGAAAAAAGGGACAACAAGTTTGATCTTTTGGGATGGTGGAATGTGAATTCAATAAAATTCCCTATATTGTCTACCTTAGCAAGGCATGTTTTACCTATGCTGATATCTACAGCTTCATCAAGGTTATTGATACATATAGGAGTTCTCTTAACCCCGAAACCACGGAAGTTCTAATTTGTGAACAAGATTGGATAAGGTGTTCATTGGTAGATCTTGAGCTTGGTTGTTCTATGAAGAGTAAAGAAATAGTTGAATTTAATGAGAAGATGACGGGTTAAAGAATGGGTAAGGTTTTTTTCCATATATTATGATTATAATTACTAGTGATTTATATAATAATAATCTACTATTTATATTTATTTATGTAGATTGAAAACAAGAAAAAATCATCCAAGGATCAAGGAGATTATGATAAATGGTGATTTATTTTATATGTTTTATTGTTGGTGATAAAAACATGTTTATGCTTTTTGATGAAGTTTGAACTTTGATGGACATTATGTTGTATTAAGTTTAAACCAAGATATTGATGACTTAATGGTTATGAATTAAAATGAATTTATTAATTTCAAAATGTGGTTGGATCGTGTGTTTATATCTATTTTGTTATCTTTTGGATGCAAGTTTAAGTTGGCAAGTTGTAACTTCAAAATAATTAAAGGGAATATATTGATATAATATGAATTGATGCTTATGACCTATTATTGTATGGTGTTTCTAATGCTAATTGTCATATAAGAAAGTCAAACTTAATAAAGGAAATAATGAACAGTCAAAAGCTAAAAGTTGTGGTTGGACATAAAAATAACCGCACCATCCAAATAAAACCATACCAATTCTATATTGCGGTAAAAAAGACCGCAACAAAAACCGCACCTATCGGTTACATGGATATAAAAACCGCAATTTCGGTTTTCAGTTTCAGTTTGGTGTAAAAACCGCACCATGCTCACCCGTAGTGGTTATGTCTAAAATCTGGAAAGAAGGGGAGACCTTCAAGATCTCTTTGTTGTATGCAACAATTGCACATATTAATTGGTTGTGATATGGAAATTGCATAGCATTAACAGCATAATTCTTTGGATTTAATTTACATTATCCATGGTTGTATAAGTAATAAAAATAATAGATAATCATTGCTATAACTTTCTTCGTATATCTAACCATTATGTTCGTTTTCCATGCGATGGAAATTTTTTCAAGTGGGACACAATTCGTCTTGTAATACATCAATGTTTTACCAACTTATATTTTACTTTGGTTAAAGAACAAAATCATGTAACTTAATGGTTGATATATCACCATCATATGCATGGTCCTCTCAAACTCGTCCTGAAAATCTTCAGAAAAATGGTTATTCGTATGCCTTGGATCATTCAAGCTAGACAAATACTCCAATGGTCTTTGTCAAATGGGACCCGCACAACAACAATGGTTCTACCAAAAGGGTATTTTTCAGTTTATGTTGGTGAGCAAGAAAAGAAGCGTTTTGTGATCCCACTGTCACTGTTAAGCCATCATTCATTCCAGGACTTATTACGTTAGACAGAGGAAGAGTTTGGATATGACCATCCAATGGGCGGCCTAACAATCCCGTGTAGTGAGCAGAAATTCTTTGATCTTGCAAGTTGCCTTGGAGCATTTTAAAGTCAAGTTACATCATTCTATTTGTTAACACATTTTTGTAAAGCACGGATCACAGACCATTTTGCAACATGCTACCATCTTTGTTAACTATGTTTACTTGATGACGTTTTATAAGAAAAACCAAGATATAACATTAAATATAATACTCTCTGTTTCACTCCCAAAAAAAATCAAATTTCTAAAATAGTGGACAATAAAATTTGTTTCTCATTCCTACATTGAACAAATTATATAGTGAAATAAAAATTGTTCCTTGCTCTGATTTTATACAATTAGGAAATTATCGATATTTTTGGACTTAATTTCACACACACATACTCTGATATTAACATTATGATTTTTTTTATGTAGATACACTTTCAGAGGGTAAAAAATCATCTAATGATGCTCAACAAAAAGAGATTGAACTATTTGCTACCACATAACTAACATCTTATATATTTGTTTCTATCCTCTAATATTTAATGAATTTTTAATTTTTGAGTATGTAATGATTTTGCTAGTTTATTAGTCTGATAGTGTTTTTAAGTAAGTTATTGAAATTTTAAGTTATTATGTTGTTAATTACTAATAGTTTTAAATGCTTAAAACCGCTAATTAAAAGAACCAAATCCACATGGCAAATAACAGCACAAAAATAACAGTAAGAAAATCAACAAATCCACATAGTCAAATACCAAACTACAAACTGTATAAAAAAACAACATAACCACACCATTCGGTTCAAAAACTGAAATAATTGTAGTTGCGCTTTGCGGTTTGGTTTGGTCGATAATTGCACTGAACCACACTGTCCTCGTACTTATTTGTAGGTGGTCTCTTTTTATCAACTTCAAAATGAGATTATTGTTGGGCTTGATGACCTAGCTTCTACGAATTATGTCTTTGAATATGGAGAGAAGGTCATAGGCTTTCACTAGCTAAGGTCGTGGATGCGTGGTATTGTTGAAGTGATTGGGCAACGTCCCAAATTTTATAATACACTTCAAGACCTAGCTTCTATGAATTATGTCTTTGAACATGGAGTGAACGCCATAGTGTAACATCCAGATTCCCAGGTATGAGATTTCTGGCTTAAAAGGTAATTTTCCCTTTTGAACTCGTCGAGTTGAAGGCCCCAACTTGACATGTTGGAAGCTTCCCAATTCGACGAGTTACTAAGAAAAACTCGACGAGTTGGTGGCTGATTATATAACCCTATTTTTTAGGATGTTGCACCCTATTTAAAGGCCTTATGGCCTTTGGATGGCCTCCTTATCCGCCCCCTCTGTCCAGAAAACCCTAGTTCGTGCATTTTCTCTCATTTTTGTGTGTGTGAGCTTGAGGAGTGTTTCTTGGTATTCTTTTGGAAGGAGTTTGGAGTTTGAAGAAGCTTGATTGAGAGGAAGGTTGTAGATCCAGGATCTTCTCTGTTGTTGCAACCATTTTGAGGTATAAAGTCGAAACCTTGATCATTTATTGCTTAGATCTCCTCCTTGGAAGTTTATTCCATTTTGGGTTCATTTTGGAGTCATTCTTGGGTTTGGTCATTTATGGAAGTTGAAACTTCAGATTTGGACATTTTGTGGCCTCCTTGGGGTTATAGTTTCAAGCTTTATACATATATAGGCTTCCTTCAAGTTCTAAGTCCTTTGTTAAGTCATTTTTTGAGTGGTTTAGCCTCTTGGTGTCATGCATAGACGTAAAGTTAGCAACTTTACGATGTTTTCCAGCTCTTGGGTACCAGATCTACATTCTTGAGCGTTAGAAGGGATGAAAAAGGGCTGGATGAGTTAGGCTGGAAAAACTCAACGAGTTATTCTGACATCTTGACGAGTTGGATCGGGGTTTTCTCGCTTTTCTGGAAAACTGTAGGAACTCGACGAATCGTCCGGAGGACTCGGCGAGTTGGCTCGGACTTTCCCTGTTTTTCTGAATACTGAAGAAACTCGACGAGTTGGCATGTGCACTCGAAGAGTTGGTTCAACATGGATTGTTGACTTTGACTGTTGACTTGACTTTGGCCATGGTTGACCAAATTTGACTTTGAGGGCATTTTGGGTATTTCGAGATTTTGATGGGATGGTCATATGGTG